CCCCTCCCCAATCCTACCCCAGTTCTCTAGCCTGTCTGGGCCTGGGCCCATTCTACACACTTCCTTCCTTCCAGGTTTGGGTCCACGTTGTTGGTGAAAATCCAAGACCGGAGAGCAGAAGAAACCAGGCCAGATAAAAAACAAACACGTGGCTAAGGGGAGGAGGGGACATTTGGGCATTACGTCACTGCCACTCCTAATGGATGCCTTCTGAAAGAGTAAAGATATAAATCTTGAGACAAATTCTCCCCCTCCCTTTCTTTTTCTTTCTTCTTTCCCAATGTTATTTATACATAATCAGTAGCAGCATTTTGGTTTTCTAACACTTTGGAACAGATACAATATGCCCTTAACTAGAACATTTAAAATGTTACAGTAACAGTGAGGAGAAGCTTAGACCTTGTTTTGGTTACATACTGACGTATTTTACTTAAATTATTTTTTCCTGATCCGATCACAGTAGTTTACTGTTCTGCAAGGATATATAACACTCCAAAATTATCATTAAGCATTCACATGATGACTTTTGCCTACTGGAAATTTTATTTTTTTTTGTTGAAGGGGATAACCTTCATCCATAGCTCTTCTATATAATTTATGATCTAGTTCTTCAACATACAATCACTACTCTGCTACTATGTCTAATTTAAGTTTTGAAGAAATAAATTGTCTAGCTGCTACTTCGTGTATTTAGCTTGTTCCTTTTCAATTTGAAATTAATCCTTTTAAAAAGTATTATAGATACTGTCAAGCTGGGTTCATGTGTTAATTTAGCTAAACTTTTTTTCTCTTTATTACAAGCTATGGTTTTCTGAGAGGAAAGCAGAGAAGAATATATTGGGGAATGAAGGTGATGTAAAAACAAAAGCTATCAATACAATATTTTAAAAGAGCATTCTGTAATACTAACCTGTTAATCCTAGGAAACTCAAATTCACATTGCAACAATTTATATGTAAGGATTCTATGATCCTTTGGGGGAAAACAATCATTGAAAGTAGATGACCAAAGAGATTAGGGGAAAGAGGATTCTTGAAGACAATAGTAGAGCTCAACAGGTTCCTTATTGCATAGATTTGAACAAAGATGTAATGAGGGCCAAAGCTGAGGGGCCCAGAAAATATGTCAGTAGGATGGAGGGGCACAATTTCATAGTCTTGCCTACGATGTAGGATTGGTCAGTTATAGTGCTGGATTTGGATATCAAGTAATGTTCCTGCAAGCTCAATAGCATAAAGATCAAAGGTCTCTAAGGCAAATCCTGTTTCCTGACTCCAGAATAATGATGTAGTTCCAATGTTTTAACAAAGTTAATTTAAAATAATTCTTTACTTGTCCTTTTCTGTAATATAGACCTACTCTCCTCTCTCAAAGGAAAAGGTGATCAATACCTAATGTTTTTCAATGCTGTGCCCTTGATCTCATCCCTTCTTTTTCCTCTATCTTTCATGTTCTATTGCCTCCTTCCTTTTTACTTCAAACCTGTTCAGATACATCCAACCCCTTGAAAAACTTGACCCTAGAATTTCTGAGTTGGAAGGGGGTATTGATGATTATGTAACCAACCACTGCTCAAGTTAACTTTCATTTATCCTCCAAACCACTACGTGGGATCTGCTTTCCCTAGGACCAGGCATTAAATGCCCAGGAAATACAAAATCCTAACTACACTTTTTTCTAGAGCCCTCTCCCTATTGACAAACAGCATGAATATTCTTTCTTCTTCCGTTTGACAGAATTCTAGCAAATGTAGGTTACAGTTCCTGGTACCATTTCTTTATCACCTACTTTCATTCCTCAACCCTTTATAATCTGTTTTTGTCCCCACTACATTTATAAAAACTATTCTCCCAAATATCAACAGTGATAGTTAACACCAATGGCTTTTTCTTCAATCCTCATTTTTCTTTTTTTTTCGGTGAGGGAGTTGGGGTTAAATGACTTGCCCAGAGTCACACAGCTAGTGAGTGTTATGTGTGTGAGGTCAAATTTGAACTCAGGACCTCCTGATTCCAGGGCTGATGCTCTATCCACTTCACCACCTAGCTGCCCCCAATCCTCATTTTTCCTGGCATCTCATTAGCATTTCACAAAATTAACCATACCCTTCTTGAAAGCCTTTCCTCTCTTGTCATGAGTAACACAGTGCTCCCCTGATTCTTTCTTTTTCCTTTGATGGGTTCTCTTTTTATCTGCCCCTGAATTTAAATATCCTCCAAAGTTCTATCCTTGACTCCTTTCTTCTACAGCAGAGGTGTCAAATGCTTAGCCAGTAGACCTATAGCGCACAAAGCACTCCAGAATGTGGCCTGAACTAGATTAAAAAGTAATTGGGAAATATTTAGCAAAATAAATAAACATAAAGTAGAACATGGGTAAGGTTAACATGTACTTTCCTAAGTCAATATGCTGTTCCAGAGATCCTTATGTATGGTTTGGTGGCCCAGTTTCGCCATGACTTTAACACAGCTGTTCTACATTGCCTTGGTAATCTCATCCACTTCCATGGCTTCAGCTGTTCCCTCTTTTTATATTTATGTGTGTCTAGTTCTCTTACCAGACTGTGAGCTCCATAAGAGCAAAGACCTTTATCTAAACTTTGTGCCTACTGCAGTGCCTAGCACTTTATACAGCATGAACATTTAATAAATGCTTAACAAATTTTTAAAAATGCTCAATAAATAATTCTAGCTTTACCCTTTCTTTCTAGTTCCAGATCTCACAACTGCCTACCATTTACTTCCACCTGGATGTCCAACTGGTGACTCAAACTGAATATGCCCAAAAGTGAACTCATGATTCCATTTACCCTCCAATTCTGAAACCTCAGAGCTAATCTTGACTCTTCTTTTTCTCTCAATTACCATATCGCCCAGTATCTAAGTGCTGACAGTTCTAGGACTGCAATATCATTTATCTTTAAGAAACTGTTCATTAGAACTAGGAAGGACATTAGATGTCATCTCCGTCTAGCAGCCTCACTTCATGGTTTGTTGTTCACAACTAGTAAATGGTAGTCTCAGAACTAGAACTTTACAATCCAGGAATCTTTCTCCTTATATCACATTGTTTAGAGGCTCCTTCCTTCTTCTTTTATTGCAAATTAATATTTATTAAATAGCCTACTATATGCCAGGACTGAAGATGTTATTCAATCATTTTTTCAGTTATGTCTGACTCTTTGTGACCCCATTTGGAGATTTCTTGGCAAAGACACTGGAGTGGTTTGCCATTTCCTTCTCTAGTTTGTTTTACAGATGAGGAAACTGAAGAAAATAGGATTAAGTGACTTGCCCAGGGTCACACAGCTTGTAAGTATCTGAGGCCAGATTTGAACTCATGAAGATAAGTCTTCCTGACTTACGCCTAGCACTTTATCCACCATGCCACTGAGCTAGAGGTACAAAGAAAAAAAGAAAACAGTTCTTGGCCTCAAGGAACATGCATTCTGGAGAAATTTAATTTGTACACAGATTAAATACCTTGTGATTTGAGGAAGGAATAAAGGCAAGAAGTATTGATGTTTCCTATCAATACTTAGTAAAATTCTTATCGGTCTGATTCTCTAATAAACTCAATTTTATTGTTATTTCCAACTAGATTCTACCCGTAGCCTTCCTGAGCTGTGATGATTGCTGTGTACCCTTGCCTGGTTCTACAGGTTTTTGTCCTCTTTCCAATATATACTGCACCCATTATCCTTCCTGACCTGAGAAACTAATCCAGGCCCTTGTTCTTGTTGAGTTTTTTACCTCCACTTACCCTTTCAATCCCTGGTTTAATAATAACAATAACATCTGACATTTACATAGTTTAAGCTTTACAAAATATATTTTTATATCCAATCCTCATAATTCTATGATGTAAGCAGTGCTGGTGTCTTCATTTTAAAACAGAGACTTTAGAGATGAAGTGACTTACTTAGGATTATATAGCTACTATTAAGTGTCAGATACAGGATTTCAACTCATACCTTCTAGTCTCCAAGCCTGGCAGGCTTCTACTATAGCTGGTAACCTCAGCACAATTGCCTTCTTCAGATTCCCAGGTTTTGATCCTTCCTAGAAACCAGTCAGCTTAGTCTTTCTAGGACCAGCGCTTAATGCTTTATATTATCATATAAAAGACAAGTAATTAACAAAGATTAAGTAAACTAGGGATGTGCATTATTCCCCAAACCATTGTTTCCCTCCTCCTCAGAGATATTTATAAATGTAAATACATTAGGGAGGGGGCTTTGCCTCTCTAAAAGTTGCTGGGCAGTGCCAAAATGCAGACTAGGTCCAAGATTCTTAGTTCCAACCCTCATTTTCTCTCTCCAGGAATATAGCCTTAGTTCGGCTTTTTTCATTTGTTTGTTTTAATTTCTTCCCAACCTCTACTCTCCCAGGATTTCCCGTTCCCCACAATATTTCATTGCCACATTCATTTTAATGTACAGATCTGATTATGGCATTCCCCTGCTCTAAAACCAAAACCTTCTATGATTCCATATTGCTTAGGTCACACAGTACAATAGAAAGAGCCTTCATTGGTCCTGAAGTCAGTGTATCAGGGTTCTGACATAAATATTACTGCTGTAGCTTTGGACAAGTCACTTCATCTCCCTATGCCAGTGGTTTCTGATGTTTTTTGTTCCAAGAACCAGATATAACATCACAACAAAAATCTGTTGTAAACCCTCAGGGTAATTTAATATCCTACTTGTAATATTCTTTTAGATTTAGTCATTAAGTGTTTACAACATCAACTTCTGCCCAAAAAAGCTTCAAAGTAAAATGTATAATTATAAAACATGAAATTTTATTCTACTGATAATTATGAAAACTTTAAATATAAAATAATAAAACAATTAAGAATATTTTAAGTAAGACATCCCATGAGAATTGGAAACCGAACCTAACCAGCCTCTAACCTACGGGTGGCTAGAGCCAAACAGAGCACACCAGAGACAGGAGGGTCAGAATTCAAACAGAAGTTTAATTTCAAAGTGAGGGAAATGGCTTTCAAGCAAGGAGACAGATTACACACATGTGCCAGGGCCACACGCCCCCCACCCCTATCGGGGGGATCTGCTTTAGTGTGGTTGAAAATTGATTTATATACTTGTGGCTGGACAAAGTCAAGCATCGTAGTGCAGCAACAGTAGTGAGGCACAACAGCAACAATAAGATAAGGTTGTCTAGTGACAAAAAGTCCATTCATAGCAAAGTCTTCATGTCTGGGCCTGTTGGTGCTTCCCCAAGGTCAGAGACCATCAGTTCTAGAAGGTATACAGAAGGGATTGTTGTTATGCCAAGCTCAGGGCACAGCTTGCTTGCTAGGCCCTAGCTCTGGAAAATTGGGTGTCACCTAATATCTTGACAGAATTAAAATAAGTAATCTAGCAAAACTTTATATGCTTACTATTATCTGCAAGACTTCATATTAAATTTCTTTATTTTACAAATTTTGTTGAAAAAAGGTAATATTTTTTAAAAGAAATTAAGTTACAGCTTAGAAGAGTTCTAACATAATATAATAATGTATAAACTTAATTTCAATGCTAGACTTTTTTATTTGAATAAGAGTTTGCAGTATTTGATTCAACCCCAGATAAACACTGTCTCATTCCGGTTTAGATTGAGTTAATTCCTGTATTTTGATCTACCACAAGAATAATGTGAAAATGTTCATTCAGATAAACACTGTGGGAAATGGTAGGAGAAGTTTACAAATTCTCTTGCTGAGTGCTGGAGATTGATTCCTTTAAATTTTTAGTTACCTAAATCAATCAATGAAAATGAGTGACTAGTTACACTATGAAATATTTTCTAGCTTTTCTTCTGGCTAACAACAAACACTGAATTACATAATAAATGTACTTAAAGTGTGATAGTATATATTGCTTTATTTTTAACAATGTTTATATTCAAACTAACCTTTGTAACCAAAGAATCTCTTCAGAAGTTACTTCTTTTCTTCTACCACTGGCACATTGTCTACATTCTTACAGAAATTACTGAATGACTGACTGACCAGTGTCACCAACTAGTTCATTTGAAAATCTACCAAATAGAAGACAAGTAATTTAAGTGGATAAGTTTCAATCTGAAAACAACCTTAATACTGAAATGAAAATCAATATAAAGTTTGTTTCTGCAGAATGTTTGTGGTGGTCCATAATAGTTTCAAGATGGCTTGTAATACATATGCCCAGTGATAGTTGATTTGAAATAGTCTGATATTTGCTATGCAAGAATGCAAATGTTCCTAACATCTTGATCACATGATTACACAACTGATGAGGTGTGATTATAGACTATCAGAGGGGAAGGAGAGAGCTACTCTAGTACAATGTGCAGAATCAGTTTGCACTTGAATGTCAAATTCTTGTGGTGATTTAGAAATGCAGATGACAGGTTGAGAAATAGTAAGAACACATTGCCCTTAATCAGAAGGCTCAGAGTTTCATGTAATTGCTGCATGAAAACCAAAAGCATTGTATAAATGATCATGATAATTTCAAATCACTACAGAAGTAAATCTATGATGCTTAAAACATGCACATGCTATCATTAAGGGGGAAAAAAAACTATGTGTGTACATATACACACATATTTATAACACAATCAAGCAATTATTTGTTACTTAAGGTGCCACTAAAGAATTTTTTTTTTCACCAAGAACCCTTGGATCATCATTGTAAATTCCCAAGGGATTCACACATCACTAAATGGAAACCATTGTCTTACAGCTCAGTTTCCTTATTTGTAAAATATAGGTGTTGATTAGATGACCCCTGAGGTTCCTTCCAATTCCTTCCAGTATGATCCTTTGAGCCTTAGTCTGGTATTTAGGGCCCTCCATAATCTAGCTCTAACTCATGGTGTAGAAGAGTTATCACGGCACTGGGTTAATAGTCAAAAAGAACTGAATTCAAATCAAGGCTCTGCTATTTTTTTCTTGACTTATTTTGGACAATTTAGCCTCTATGGACACCAGTTTCCTCATTGGTTAAATGAAGAGTTTGAAACTGATAATCTCTAAGGTCCCTTACAGCTTCAAATTGTTCCTTTCTAACCTGATTTTACACAACTCCCTTCTATTGATCTTATTCTCCAGGAGCTAAATTGGACTTCTGGCTATTTCCAGAATGCACCTCTTGATTCTTCTTGCCTCCCAATGCCTTTGTTCATGCATTTCTCTATGCCTAGAATATACCCTACTTCCATACACATTTTTCAAATCTTGTCCATCCTGGGAGGGTGGAAGGGAGAGAAGTTTCTGTTCATTGAAAGCAAAATTATATTAAAAAAGGCTATTGCTTTTGGAGTCAGAAAATCAGAATTCAAATTCTGGTTCATACCCCTGCTGCCTTGGTGACCATGGACAAGTTATGTATCCTTTCTACAGGAGATATTAACAATGTCGTCTTATTTAAACTTTGAAATTCCTAGTATCTAGCATGGTGCTTTGTATGTAGTAAGAGGCTTCAAGGCCTAGCTCAAATCTCACTTTATGCAAGAAGTCTTCTCTAATGTACCCAGACCCTCTGAGTTCTCTTGTAAACTATGAAATTCCAAACAAACTATAAAACACATCCCTATAGGGTGGTGTTTTTGAAGAGATAAAAAAAGTATTTTACAGAACCAGGCTAGTTCTCCAGTAAGCATAGGTTCAATACTGGAACAAAATGAGACTCTTGTACATCATTTAATGGTTAACAAAAAATTCACTTAACCATAGCTAGAGAAGGATATTAAATAAGGATAAGCATGAGGGCATCTCTAATTGATTCAGCTGAGCCAAGCCCCTTGCCTCAATTGCCCATCATAATGCATCAGCCAAGTCTTCTAGAGCACCTTCTTCCTCCCACGTCCTTGAGGCTGTTTTGTACACAGGTGATGAGGAAATGTCCTCTTCAGGAATGTCTCAGTATCTATTAAGATAAAACTCTCCTGCATAGGAGACAGGGATTAATATATTGCTTAATGTACCCCTACTTTCTGTATGACCCTGGACATTTACCCCTTCTGCATGAAATGCTAATTGTTGTTCTATGTAAACAATACTTTGCACACAGTAGGAGCTTAGTAAAGTGTTTGTTGACTTAAAAAAAAAAACAAAACTACCCATCCTTCAAGGCCTAGCTCAAATCTCACTTCATCCAGGAAGTTTCCACTGATGTTCCAGACCCTCTGAATTATCTTTTAAACTGTAAAAGATAAAGGACTCTTATCATAGAATGGTATTTATGAAGAGACAAAAAAGTATTTCATAGTAACAGAGACTTCAGAGGCCTCCCACTCCATACCTGAACAAGAATTCCTTCCACAGCACAGCCAACTAGTGAACATGCAGCTTTTACTGAAGTGTTTCAGTGATGGCTAACCTATTACCTCTACAAGATGTACGTGTTCACCTTTGGAGAGTTGTCTTTGTTAGGAAGTTTTCCGTTTCATCAAGCTCCTATGTGACTCTCTGAAGCTTCTACCCATTGTTTCTCATGGTGTCCCTTGGGACCAAGCAGAACAAATCTAAACTTTTTAATGTGGCAGTCCTTCAAATATTCAAAACAACTATCATAGGATCACAGATTTAGACATAGAAGGGACTTTCAAAGTCACCTAATCCAACTCCCTCATTTTATGGCTGAGGAAACTGAAGCCTGAAAAAGCTAAGTGACTGGCCCAAGGTCATAGTGATAGCATGCATCACAGCAGGAATTTGAACTCTAACTCTAAATCTAGCACTCTCTCTACTGTACCTTATCTGCCTTGAATGTCTTCAGGTTAAATTCTTCAACCTCATGTCATGTTTTAGACAAACAATCGATTATAGACAAGTGGATGAAATTTAAGCTTTCTTACCTTTGGGAGGGGGCCGGTGTTAGGAGGAATGACATGGAGTATTGGAATCAATTTGAAGAGGAAGAACACCTAACCAAAGAAAGTAGAAAGACCTCTGGTTCCATTCCCATTTTCCCCAAACCTCTTTCCCCATCTTATGGAGAAAAGGAATATTTCCCCTTATCATTGGAACAATTATAATAAAGATGCCTAGCTGATTGATTTTTGAAAATAAAAATAGAACCCTCCTCCTCCTAAAAACATGGCAACAGGAAGTTCCCTTGGCCTTTCTACTGCCTAACAATGTTTCCAAAAGATGTGCCATATGGGATGCTATATGGCCTCAATTTCTGCAGAATATTTGAAGTACATTAAAAGTTTGCACTTTGCCTGTACATAGCTACATACTGAGAGCAGCAAAATCTTTGACTATAAAAAATCCTTGTGAAAAATTAATCGGCATTTTTAATGCCTGTACCACCCTTTGTCTTAATCACATTTGGAGAGGAGAGGGAAAGATGTTTAAGAAGTGTATTTTGCTTTGTCAAAGACTTTTCAAAAACAGGGTAACTAAAAAGAACAGAATTTGAATTCTTTAGTTGAAGTTCATATACATGAAAGATTATACTGACATTGCTGCTGATGATTATTCTTTGTCAGATATTCTTAATCAAAGATACAGTATAGTAAGGAAATATTTTCAATTTAATTCTATCTAATCTCCAAAAACTGAACTAGTATGCAAACTTTCCTGTCATATTCATTAATAAAATTAAAACTAGCACATGAAATGGATAAGATCGCACAATTGGAATTTTTTTCTATCAGTTAATAAAAATACAAAGCTTTTTTATAGACTTTTTTTATGTCTTGGTTACCTGTGGGAAATGTATGTCACATAAAATTAGACCACAAATTGTCAGTGTTCCCCTTAGATAACTCAAGAAATCAAAATTTGCAAACCAGAGATTGGGCCTGATCTTATTTTAAAAAGTCATTATAAAGATTTCTCCATTCTAAATTTGAATCTGCAAGTGTATTGCCAAGTGTTTTTTTTACCTAAATTATCATTTAGGGAGAAGAAAATGAGTCCAGAGTTCTTTGTGAATACATTATTTTAGTAATAATTTTTCTTTTCATTACAGTAATTCCTTTTCTTCTTTACAGGGTAACATAAATTTTAAGAAATGAAAAAACAAACAAACCCTGTTCAATCACTAGCTCAGATACATCTATTTCATGGGCATTCATATATGTGTAAGCTCCAGTTTTCCAATGGCTCTGTCATCTCCCAATCAAAAATATTTCCTACAGGGATACAAATTGTACCTCATACATGCCTATGCTACTCTCAGCTACGTCTTTGCATAAATTTAGCACAGGGGGTTTACTCAGCATGCTGAAGATTATCATATTTCCTTTTCATTGCATGGACTCAATCAGATTGATTTCAAAGAACTAAATAAATATTTACCACTTACTATGTGCCCAGAACCATGTGATGTCTAACATTTAAACCTGAGAATAAGAAGACAAAAACAAAACTGTCCCTGCCTTCCAGTAGCTTGCATTCTACTAGGGAAACATAATATATATACAAATAGATGTAGAATAAATACAAAGTAATTTCAGGACAGTGTGTTGTATACATGTACACAACTAAGTAAAGTTAAAGAACTGACAAAAGGAAGTGGGGGTGGGGGTGGTCAGGAAGAGGTAATCCTTGAGCTGAGGCTTGAAGGCTAGAGGTTCCAAGAAGGAGAAGTAAGAGAGCTCATTCCAGGCATATGGATGGATGAGGGAATGTCATTTACCAGGAGTGGCAAGTAAGCTAAGTTGGTGGAAATGTAGAATGCCTGAGGGAGACCGATTTATAAAGAGCATGAAAAGGTAAGTTAGAGTCAGATTGTGAAGGGCTTTAAATGTTACACAGAGGAAGTTGTATTTAAGTTGTATTTTATCTTAGAAGTGTTTTTTGTCATTATCAAATTGTTTCGGTTGTGTGGAGTTTTCTTGGCAAAGATATTGAAGTGGTTTTCCATTTCCTTCTCCAGTTCATTTTACAGATGAGGAACTAAGGCAAACAGGGATAAGTGACTGGCCCCGGGTCACATTTGAAATTGGCCCAGGCCAAATTTGAACTTAGGTCCTCCTGACTCCGGGTCCAGCCTCTATTCACTGTGCCACCTAGCTGCCCCTGAGGGAAGAGACATCTGATGACAAATACTAATTTAATAGTGTCTGGACAGCCCTCTATTCACTGCACCACCTAGCTGCCCCTTAGGAAGCTATTAAAGCTTCCCAAACAAGGAAGTGACTTGGTGAGGCTGATGCTTTAGGATATCAATGGAACAAGCAGACTTTACATTGTTTATCCCTACCTCTTCCCTTTAAATACTTTTTTCAAGAATGCCTTCATTGTTGGTGTGGATCAGTGGTGTCAAATTTAAAAAAAAAAACTCAACTATGCATAAGGATCCCTCCAGGCTGCATAATGACTTAGAAAACCACATATTAACATTATCTAAGTTTCATGGTATTTTTATTTATTTTGTTAAATATTTCACAATCATTTTAATCTAGTTTGGCTGCACTAGAGAATGTTGTAGACCATATGCCTCCCAATGGCCCATACTTTATACCCCTGGTGTAGATTATTCTCATTAAAATTTATATAGATGGGAAAGTAGGCATATGGAACAATAGCTTTTCATATACCCTCATTTGCATTTTTGTGAAGGTAATTATAAATTGTGAGATTTTAGCCATGTTTTTGGATTCTTTCCCTTCTTTACATATCGCAAGAATCAATTCCTGGATGCCCTCAAAATTGTGTTGCTTCTAGTATGGCTTTCCTTAACCTCTCTGAGCCCCAGTTTTCTTATATGTAAAAGGATAATAATAATACCTATACATACTTACCTCCCAGGGTTTGTTGTAGGAATTGAAGAGTATACATATAAAGAATCTTTTAAACCTTAAAGTGCTGTATCAACGTTAGCTAACATTCTTGTGTAAAGTTCCTCTGAGATCATGACATTCAACAAGTGTTGATTATTCAGAATTTTAGAGATGACCCTTGAAAACAAGCTGACAAAATACAAAATCTTGCCAGACTGGTCTAGGTACAGTGAGTGATGCATCCACAATACCTGTCAAATGGACAATGGCATTAAGGGAGAGTTAAGAACTGACGAATTGTGCTTCTTTTTAAAAAAAAACTTATCTTTCCTTTCTCCCTTAATAATAATAATAAGGGAGAAGCTTATCTGTTCTGTTGTTGTTCAGTTGTTTTAGTCCTGTCCAACTCTTTGTGACCCGCTTTGGGGTTTTCTTGGCAAAGATACTGGAGTGCTTTGACATTTCCTTCTCTATGTCATTTTATAGATGAGGAACTGAAGCAAACAGGGTTAAATGACTCACCCAGGGTCACACAGTTTGTGTCTGAAGCCAGATTTGAACTCCTGTCTATTCTAGACATTGTTAAATCATGTAACCCACCATTAACAAGATTTCTTTTCTATGAGTGTCTTAAGGGACCCTGTGCTTTCCAATCCAGTTTAGTAATTTATTAAGCATTCTCTGCTGTTTACCAGGTACTGTGCTAAGTGCTGGGGACATAATAAATAAATAAGACAGTCCCTACCTTCAAGGAATTTACAATTCAATTGTGTGTATGTGGGGTGGGAGGAGGGGGAAAGCAACACAAAAGGAGGCAGGAAGGTGAGAAGGGAGATAAGGGGGTACCTATTGGGGGGCATCTTCAGTGGAATTGAAATGAGGAAAAGCAGCAGAGGCAGATTGAAATGAGCTGAAGAAAAGTCCTACTTCTGCCCTCTATAAAAGAAGGCATTGGGAGAAGTTTTGTATATCCAGGAGGTGTTGTCAGTCAAGGATTGAGTTAGCATCCTGGGTGATGAGATTAGAGGTGATGAGCTTAACCTGGGAGGGGCATCTCCCTCCCACTTACCCCCCACCCCACTTACCTCTGCCAATTAAAACAAGGAAGAGCAGAAGCTACAGAGTGTAGTGAGCACCACATTTCACCAATTCTCTTCAGATATTTTAATAAGCTTACTGTAATCATTGTGTTAACCTTTCCTGAATTTCAGTTTTCCCCTTCAACTTTTCCAGTTCAGAGAAAGCAAATGTCCAATCAGGAATACATTCACTTTTTATATCTGAAAGTGACAGCACACCATTGTTTAATCAGTTGTGAATGGACAGCTTAATTCTTAAAAAATAAACAAAAACAAAACCCAAAGGCAATATGAATTGATCAAACTCCAGTATCCTACTGTTATGATATAAAATTTCTAAGTTTATTATAATGTTTTAGAGTGTTGGGTTTTCTTTCTTTTTTCCCCCCAGTACAATATCTGCTCCATCCCATCATTCCAATACCATCTGTTGTATCTATTTACAAGCTGTTCCTCCAGCACACTCAGAATTTTAAATTTAAGGAAACACCCCCAATTTATCAAAGAAAACTTATCCCTTACATTAATAGCCACCAATGGCAACTAAAAATTAGGCATCTATGACTAAGTGACCTCTTCATAGGTAACTGTGACATTACCTTAACCACCACACAATGGAGACTGTTCCTGGAAGCCATCTTGAGAATTCCAGAAGTAATTTTGGTGGTTTCTTCCACCAACTTTGCAGAACTATCTGTTGTCATCCTACTTGTTGATGTGACCTAAAATAAAATAGATTTACTGAATAGGTTAGTGACATCCATCCTTGACACAGTCATTGATCGGCTAACCCACCCCAGCTGTCATCTGCCAGCTCTTTGAAGCTGAATAAATAGAACCACATGGATCAAAATATAGCCCAAACTGAAGACATTGCTATTGTCTTTGAAGTTTGAGCAGGCTCCCTGCTGAACATCTTTATCTGCTACAATTTCTTTGCAGCCAGGTGGGGAAAGATGCTGTTTTTTAAGTTGTGTGAGCAAGTTGCTGTGTGTGCCAGACACTTAAATAATAGCAGATGTTGTTAGAGGGCAGGTAAAAATAGTTGATGACTGAATTTTTTGAAAAGTATATGTACTAGCATGCATGAGCATGCTAAAATT